TATCAACAAGGGCCAAGAGGCAATGAAGAATACAATTTCTGAACTGAAGAACACAGTACAAGGAATCAAAAACGGGATCAATGAAGCAGAGAATTGGATCAATGAGTTGGAGCATCAGGTTTAAAAAAGCACCCAGAAAGAGCAAGAAAAGGAAAAGAGACTCAGAGAGAATAACGAGGGGTTAAGAGAAATGCAGGACAACGTGAAATGGAATCATATCTGTATAATAGGAATACCAGAAGGAGAAGAAGAACAACAAGGGATAGAACACCTATTTGAAGAAGTAATGATGGAAAACTTCCCTAATTTGATGAGAGAAAAAGTCACACAAATCTAGAAACACAGAGTCCCAATCAAGAAGAACCCAAAGAGGCCCACTTCAAGACACATCATAATTAAACTGGCAAAATTCCAAAACAAAGAGAGAATCCTAAAGGCCTCAAGGGAAAAACAGGAAGTAACATACATGGGAGCCCCAATAAGACTAGCAGCTGACTTCTCAGTGGAAACACTATCAGCCAAAATGAAATGGCAAGAAATATTCCAAGTAATGAAAACCAAGGGCCTGCAACTGAAACCACTCTACCCAGCAAGGCTCTCAATTAAAATGGAAGGCCAAATAAGGAGTTTCCCAGACAAAAGGAGCCTCAAAGATTACACCTCCTCCAAACCAGCTCTGCAAGACATGCTAAAGGGTCTGCTTATAAGAACAGGAAGAAAAACAGTGAGAGAAATAATAACAGAGGTATGAAAAATGGCAGTGAAAAAGTACCTATCAATAATAACCTTAAAAATAAATGGATTAAATGTCCCAATCAAAAGACATAGAATAGCAGAATGGATAAGAAAGCATGACCCACACATATGCTGTTTACAAGAGACGTAGCTCAGAATAATACCTACACCAACAGAAAGTGAAGGGTGGGAAACAAATATCTAAGCAAATGGGCAGGAAACAAAGGCCAGGGTAGCAATACTCATATAGGATAAAATATACTTCAAAAAAAGAGCCATAAAAAGATACCCAGAAGATTACTTCATAACACTCAAGGGAAGAATCTATCAAGAAGATATAAGCACCCAACATAAGCACCCAAATATATAAAGAAAATCTTAAAGGAATTTAAGAAAGATATTGACAGCAACACAGTTATACTAGGGGCTTTTAACACCCCACTGTCAGAAATAGATAGATCTTCCAAACAAAATATATCAACAAAGATATTGTGGCATTGAACAATGCCCTACATCAAATGGACTTAACTGATGTATATAGAGCATTTTATCCCAAAGAGGCAAACCACACATTCTTTTCACATGAACATGGAACATTTTTCAGGAATAGACCACATGACAGGACACAAAACAAGCCTCAACAAATTCAAGAAAACTGAAATCATATCAAGCATTTTCTCCAACCACAAGTGACTGAAACTAGAAACCAACCTCAAGGTAAAAAACCGAAAACACTCAAACTTGTAGAAATTGAATAGCATGCTATTAAACAATGAATGGGTCAAGAATGAGATTAAGGAAGAAATAAAAAAGTTTCTGGGAAAAAATGAAAATGAATGCACAACAATCCAAAACTTATGGGACACAGTAAAGACAGTCCTGAGAGGGGAGTTCATAGTGATACAGGCCTACCTAAAAAACATAGAAACATTTCAAATAAACAACCTAACCCTACACCTACAAGAACTGGGGGAAAACAAAGACAGCCCAGAGCAAGTAGAAGGAAGAAAATAACCAAGATCAGAGCAGAGTTAAATGGCGTAGAGACTAATAGCACAATTCTAAGGATCAATAAATCCAGGAGCTGGTTCTTTAAAAAAGTAAAGAAAATCAAAAAGCCTTTAAGCAGACTCATCAAGAAAAAAAAAAAGAGAGGACCCAAATAAACACAATCAGAAATGAAAGAGGAGAAATTACAACTGATTCCACAGAAATACAAAGGATTGTAAGAAATTACTACAAAGGACAATATGCCAAGAAATTTGAAAACCTAGGTGAATTGGACAAATTTCTTAAAAAATACAATCCTCCAAAACTGAATGAAGCAGAAAGCCTAAACAGACCAATAACAGGAGACAAAACTGAAGCAGTAATAAAAAAAACTCCCGACACACAAAAGCCCTGAACCAGACAGTTTCACAGGAGAATTTTACAAAGCATTTAAGGAACAGCTAATCCCTACCTTCACAGATTATTCCAAAAAATCCAAGAAGATGGAAGACTATCAATCTCTTCTTATGAAGTATCATCCTAACCCCCAAATCAGATAAAGACATAACAAAGAAAGAAAACTTTTAGGCCAATATCACCAATGATGTAGACACTAAAATCCCAACAAAATATTGGCAAACTGCATCCAGCAATATGTGAAAAAGATCATACACCATGATCAAGTGGGATTTATCCCAGGGATGCAAGGATGGAAAAATATTCACAAATCAGTAAATGTAATGCATCACATAAGCAAAATGAAAGACCAAGACCACATGATCAAATCAATAGATGCAGAAAAAGCATTTGATAAGGTACAGCACCCATTTATGATTAAAAAACACTGAGCAAAGTGAAAATAGAGAAAATGTTCCTCAACATGATAAAGGCCATATACGAGAGACATAAAGCCAACATCATACTCAATGGGCAAAAACTTAGAGCTTTGCCACTAAGATCAGGAACAAGACCAGGATGCCTGCTTTCACAACTCTTACTCAAAAAGGATTAGAAGTCCTAGACACAGCAATCAGACAAGAAACAAAGAAATAAAAGGTATCCAAATTGGAAAGGAGAAAGCAAAACTGTCATTGTTTGCAGATGACATGATAGTGTACATAGAAAATCCTACAGACTCCACCCCAAAACTGCTCGACCTAATAAATGAATTTGGCAAAACAGTGGATACAAAGTCAATATCCAGAAATCAAAGGCATTTTTGTATATCAACAATGAAACAGCAGAAGCAGAAATCAAGAAAAAATCCCGCTTGACACAGCAACAAGAAAGATAAAATACCTAGGAATAAACCTAACCGAGGAGGTAAAACACCTGTATGCAGAAAACTACACAACGCTGAAGGAAGAAATCAAGGAAGACACAAACAAATGGAAGCATATAATGTGTTCATGGATTGGAAGAATTAACATCATCAAAATGTCCATGCTACCCAAAGCAATTTATAGATTCAATGCACTTCCTATTAAAGTACCAATGACATATTTCACAGAAATAAAAGAGACGTTTCAAAAATTTATATGGAACCATAAATGACCCCGAATAGCAGCTGCAATTTTGAGAAAGAAGGGCAAAGTAGGAGGAGTCACAATACCTGATGCCAAACTGTATTATAAGGCAACTGTAATCAAAACAGTCTGGTACTGGCATAAGAACAGACACATAAATCAATGGAACAGAACAGAGAGCCCAGAAATAAACCCAAGTCTCTACAGGCAATTAATATTCAACAAAGGGGCAGTAACATAAAATGGAGTAAAAATAGCCTCCTCAACAAATGGTGTTGGGAGAACTGGACAGCTACATGCAAAAAAAATGAAACTTGATCGCCGACTTAAACCATACATGTAAAATAAACTCTAGGTGGTTAAAAGACTTAAATATAAGTCATGACACCATAAAAGTCCTACAGGAAAACACTGGCAGGAAAACCACAGACACTCCATACAGCAATATTTTCACCAATTTGTTCTCTGAAGCAAGGAACATATAGGAAAGAATAAACAAATAGGACCTCATCAAAATAAAAAACTTCTGCATGGCTAAAGAAAACAGCATTAAAATACAAAGACAACCAATTATATAGAAAAACATTTGCCCATGATACCTAGGACAACAGTGTGATCTCAAAAATATATATAGAACTCACAAAACTCCACTTCAGGAAGACAAACATCCCAATTAAAAAATGGGCAAAAGACTTGAACAGACAGTTCTCAAAGGAGGACATACAAAGGGCCCTGAGGGATATGAAAAGATGCTCAGCATCACTAGCCACCAGAGAGATGCAAATTAAAACCACAATGAAATATCACTTCACACCAGTCAGAATAGCCATCATAAACAATTCAATAAACAAGTGTTGTAGAGGATGTGGAGAAAAGGGAACCCTAGTGCACTGTTGGTGGGAATGCAGACTGGTACAGTCACTGTGGAAAACACTGTAGAATTCCCTCAGAAAACTAAAAGTGGAACCGCCTTTCCACTTTTATATCCTAAGAACCCGGAAACACCAATTCAAAAGAACCTATGTATGCAAGTGTTCATAGCAGCACAATTTACCATAGCCAAGTGCTGGAAGCAACCTAAGTGTCCATCAGTAAATGAATGGGTCAAAAAACTATGGTACATTTACACAATGGAATACTATGCAGCAGAGAGAAAGAGGAGCCTCTACCCTTTGCAACAGCATGGACGGAACTGGAGAACATTATGCTAAGTGAAATAAGCTAAATGGTAGGGGACAAATACCGTATGATCTCAGCTTTAACTGGTATCTAATCAACAAAACAAGTAAGCAAAATATAACCAGAGAAACTAAAATTAAGAACAATCTGATAGTTACCAGAGGGTAGGTGGGAGGGGATAATGGGTAGAAGAGGGGAAGGGTTTTCAGGAACAACTATAAAGGACACATGGACAAAATCAAGGGGGTGTGGAAGCAGGGCAGGGAGGTGGGTTTGGCTGAGGTTGGCAGGGGGTAGTGGGCAGTAAACGCAGACAACTGTAATTGAACAACAATAAAATAATCTTAAAAAAAACTAAGATCTTAGTGTTTTTTCTGTGTACCAATTGACACTTTAGAGTAAGAAGAGATTAAGTGCTTGCTTCCCTCTATTTGTGTGCTGAGACAGGTGTAGAGCAATTAAGCTTTAATTTACAGTCTAGTGTTCATTCTATTCCAATATACACTCTATAGTCCTGAAATCAGTGGTTTTACCAAAAACAACCTCTCCAATGACCTGTTGGTATCTCACCTATAACTCTGCTGAGCCGGTCAGAAGAAATGTTTAGAAGAATCTTCTCTATTAGCTTTGATCCCACATGGATGCAAACCTTGTGGATTCCATCAACTATGGTCATTGAAGCTGGCCTACAAAAGAGTATATAGCACATGACCTTCAAAAGATTTTCCCATTTTAAAAATGCATAAATAAAATATAATTTCAAAAAGCACTGGGTTTTTATGTAGGGTTAATTTTGATTTCTAAAACAATGTTTCAGAATATCCTAAAAATAAGAGAAGGGCTTTTTAAAAAAAGTGTTTCAAATTATAAAGTAATAAATTAGATTTATTTCAAATTCATTTAAAAATTTTAGATTGTACTATAAGAAAACACTATTTTACACATGTGTAAATTATTTTTTGAAATAAAATAAAGATGATAACTACATATTTCAGAATCACAACTTCAAGTTATTTTTTCCAATGGACTCTTTGCTATCAAAAACATAGTCTTTGGCATGTCACTAAATAGGGAAGCAGATAAGTAATTTTAAGTACATCATGCAATGGTAAATACTGTGTAGTGCTAAGAAGAATGAGGAAGATTTAAAAGTGCTATTATGGAAGGCACACCATGATATACTCTCAGGAACAAATAGTATGAAAGAACTGTGAATAGCTGAATATAGTATTATAAATATGCTTGTATAAGCATAATAAATTACTGAGGATATGCAAAAACTTCTAATAAGCATGGAAGTAACATTGATGGTAGAGCGGGTAGATAGGGAGGAAGACCTTTACTACTGGTTTTAGTACTTCCTCTGTAGTTTGCATCTTACCATGGCATGTCTTACCTTTAAAAAAATAATTAATTAAAAATGTTTAATAAATTAATTTTAAAAAATATATTGAGAACAGAATTTAGAAACAGACTCATGAGTATAGGGAAATTTAGTGTAACAGATAAAACAACGCTGATATTCCCTCCAAAAATCTACTGCACCCTTTACCTAGGTCCTTTCCTCTTCTTCACTCTATAGTCTTGCCCTAGACTATCTCACTTACTCCATTCTTTATTTTTTAAAAAATTATATATATACACACACATATATATGTTTACACATACATACTGAATCTTGGTTTATAAATGCCAAGATTATGGATATACCAACCATATATCAGTATAGATATAGTCAGTATCTGCTATGTATTACACAGTAAAAAAATATATATATATTCAGTATCTACTATGTACAAGAAACTATGCTAAGCAGTGGGTACTATAAAATAGAAACAGCAAAATGGAGTTGATGTTGTCAAGTAGGCAATCTAAAACAGAACCTGGAGACCTCCAGGAAGTTGAGCTAACACAGCCCCTCTACGTGAAACTGAACTTTTGAACTGGACTAAAGCACAAAACAGCTCTATCATGATACAATTCCTAGAACTGGCCCTGTATTGCTGAACTATTAAGAAATAAAATAAGTGGAACCTAATCAACAAAACAAACAAGCAAGCAAATTATCCAGAGACAGTAAAATGAAGAACAAATGGACAGTAACAAGAGGGGAGGGGGTAGGGGTTTTCAGGAACACGTATAAAGGACACATGGACAACACCAAAGGGGGTTAGAATCAAGGATGAGAGGTGGGGATGGCTGGGGTTGGGCGGGGGGACTTACTGGGGGGGGTGGAAAATGGAGAGAACCATATTTAAACAAGAATTAAAAAATGTAAAAAAAATTTTTTTAACCTAGCAAAAGACATAACCAAGTAATCATATAGCATAGTCTGCCTGCCAGCACCAGTCACAGCTCTTTCAAAACAATTTCTGTAATCCCTTTAGAGCCCTGCTTTTCCTGTCTTTATGAACTCTATCCCTTTCTTTCCCTTCTAGGAACACTTTTGGTTTTCTACCCCAGTATATGTCTACAAAACTGCAATTCTTAAAAGTCCCCCCAAACTAACCTTTTGTTTGCCTTGCTGTTCTTGGTCAAAATTGATTGACAGCATATATTAGTGAACAAGATAGATCTGGTTCCTTCACTTGAGGAACTTAAGCATTTAGTGAGATAAAAAGATAATAAGCTTTTTGACAATGATGCCAGATTGTTCGATGGGATCATAATAGTCTTTTCAACAAAAAGTGCTGAGACGACTGGATATTCACATGCAAAAGAATTAAGTTGGGCCCTGGCTGGCCTAGCTCAGTGGATTGAGTGTGGGCCTGCAACCAAACAACCACAGTTCAATTCCCAGTCAGGGCACATGCCTGGTTTGCAGGCCAGTTCCCAGCAGGGGACACATGAGAGACAACTACACATTGATATTTCTCTCCCTGTCTCTTTCCCTTCCCCTCTAAAGATAAATAAATAAAATCTTTAAAAAAAAAGAATTAAGTTGGACTCCTTCCTTACACCATATGTAAAAATTCAAAATAAATCACAGACCTATATGCAAGAGTTAAAACTATACAATTCATAGAAGAAAACAGAGGAGTAAATCTCTATGATCTTGGCTTATAAATGATACATTTTTTAGATATACCAACCAAAACCAAAAGAAAAAAACCAGATAATAAAAAGTGTTGGCAAGGATGTGAAGAAACTACAACCCTCACACATTGCTGGTAAGAATGTAAAATTGTGCAGCAGTTTTGAAAAAGTTTGGCAGTTTCTCAAAAGGTAAACATAGAGTTACCACATGTCCCAGTAATTCTACTTTTGAGTGCATACCCAAGAAAAATGAAAACATATACCCATGCAATAATTTGTACATGAATGGTCACATCAGTATTATTTATAATAGCCAAAAAGTGGGAACAAGCCAAAAGCTGAGCTGGGTAAAAGAAGGAATGAGAAGTGACTGCTGAAGGGGCCTTGAGGGCAGGGGTGATTAAAATGTCCAAAATAGCAATGACTGCTACTTTGTAAAGGCATGCAATTTATAAGTTAAAAAGAAAAAGATTACCCAAAATGTGAACACTTATTATTCAGAAAACAATGTGTTTTTCACTTAATTGGTTAGTCATTTTACCACAGCACATTTGGGATCCTTATTTTTCTAATGTGAATTTGGGAAAATTGAAGTACAGAAAGGTAAAACACCTTAGAAGCTTCTACCACTCAAAGATTAGATCATATAATACTTTTAACCTTTAAATTCCAAATATTTGTTAATGTGGGGGACTGAGTTTCTTCATTTAGATCTTGGATGAAAGTGTAAACCAAGTAAAAATTTTCTTCAGAATAGCTTCTTCAAGACAATAAACTCTCCAAATTACCACTTTTAAAAATCCTGTTATGATTTTAATCACTCAGGGGAACTTTTGTACTCTTGGATTAGCTCTAATTAGTTCTCATTAGAAAGTAAGAGTTGATATATGTAATTTTTTAGTCACTTCCAGTCCTATAAAAATAAATATTTTCCATCTGATTGGCTTACTTAGTTGCCTTACCTGTAGTATATTTTCTTCATAGTACATGGCAAGCAGCTAAAACACTGTTTGTAGATCTTGTTCTCATCCGTTTCTAGTTCCAACCCACATTTTGCACAACCAGTATACGTAATGTTGGGAAGAGAAGAGAAAATGCTCTTCAGAGAACTATGAGCATTTATAACTATTTTCTGATCTGCTGTAATATTAAACACTAGCTCTAAAATCTCGGCTTTGATTAGAATCACTCCTACAAAAGATAGACAAAAATATTATAAATTATAGGACCAAAATTATAATTTACAAATATGGCTAATTATGTACTTAATTTACAGTTTCTTAATTTACAGTTTCTTATTGTGAAGAATACATCCAAGATCTTGTTCTTGGTCTTCTCTTCTTCACTCTTCCTAAATAATCTCACTCACTTATGGCTTCATTATTGACCCTAGAATGTAAAGGGTGGTTTGCCAGCAATTTAGAGTAAAGATTTATTTGGCTAATTTGGCTGAACAGATGATATTTTCTTTCTCCTTCTGTCCTCTGGAATCATAGAAAATAAGTTTAATTCTTTTAGCAGAAATCCCTTCCAACACTTGAAACTAGTGAACATCTCTTCTCTCCTTATCTTCTCTTCTGTCTCTTTAAAATTATTTTTAATTATTGATTACAGAGGGAGAGACAGAGAATGAGAGCGACAGACAGAGAGAGACAGCAATTTGCTGTTCCACTTAATTACGCATTCAGTGGTTGATTCTTGTATGTGCCCTGACCTGGGATCAAACCTACAACCTTAGTGTATGGGATAATGCTCTAACTAACTGAGCTACCCAGCCAGGGCCCCTTCTGTCTTTTTAAGTGATCATCATCAAAAACCAAATAGGAGGTAAGTTATCCTTCTATTCTCAATTTTGTCTAAAAATCATATACCACTAGCTTAACCTCTTCTTTAAACTTTCTTTTTCAATTTCCTGCCCCAAATCACCATACTCTGGGTGTTGATGATACAGCCACATGAGCACTGAGAGTTCTCGTTTACTAAATGCGTGACTCACCAGGAACCCCGAGCATGCTCATTCTCTACTCACTGGCTCACGTACTCACCTGTTAAAAAAAGAAAAGAAAGAAAGAAAAACTGAGTATCTATTATCTGCCAGACACCCTTTTTTCTAATTTATCTTGGCCTTATTGTGTACTAGTGAGATCTATGAGTTTATCTGAGCATTTCCTCTCTTCTTCTCCATATTCAGTTTAAGCCCTTTTAAAGTTTTTTTTAAAGCCTTTATTTAAGCATTTGTTCCTTATCCATCTAGCAGGCAGTACACTCTAAGTCAAGAACTCATCACTCTGGTGTCCTATTCTTTCTGGTTATCTCTTTGAGAGTCCCAATAACGGTGATTTCCTATTTCTAAGTCCTTCAATTTGCTTTAGTCTTTTAGTGCCTAAATATTGTTTCATCATGTCTGCTGATTATGTCATATATCCCAGGTCATATGAATTGCAAGAGTGTATAGTGATCAGCATATCTAATAAACTATAGCAGACAGACTCTCCTTCACACCTTTCCACATACATGTTGAATCATTAAGAAACAAATGAAAGAATTTAATAATCTTAGAAGAGTGTTAAATAACTCCTCTAACATTTTATAAATTTAGACACCTCTTTTAAGAAATTTAAAGCTCATAACAAATGAGGACTCTGCTTTTAAGGGAATTACAGCCTGCTGGGCACTGATATTCTGCTGATGACAGGACGAGGTGCTGAATGAGCATCTTCATTTCTTTACAAGGAGCCAGGAACAACTTATCACTCTCTGGCTTTTGTTAAGCTTTGTTAAAAAGAGCAAAACTTCTTAGAAAATTCTGCCATGTTGTTCTCCCTTTCTCCTGCCTTTTATTTAACTATGAAATAGTTAGGCTAGGAAAAACTTCCTTTACTTCCATGTGCTCTGATAGAAACTATGACAGACATAAACAATGACAGAAACTATGAAGTCAGCCCTCATAGTTGAAAATAAAGAAAATGAAAATGGCTCAAAGGTCCTCTCTGAACACAACCTACCACGGACTGATTGTAACGGTACAAAGTTTTTGCATGGTTTCCCAATAGGGAGCACATCTCCAGGGTTTCCAAGAATACTCCCAATTACCAGTCTCATCCCCCAAATTGGAGAGACTCTACATCTTGGTGCCATTAATCATCAGAGCTGTGACCACTTATTTTGTTGGTATTTTAAAATCTAATTCTAGGTCATTAGTCCCAGGAGGTAACTGTTTTAATGTAAGCAGTAGATAAAAGAGTTGACTTCTCCATGACACCAAATTGAATAAAGTTCCTCCACTGCCTATGGCATCCTTCTTGCAGTGATCAGCTCCATAAGCTTGTGGGGACTTGGGAGGTGGGGAGACAGGAGAGGCACACAAGTATGAAACTGTTCTAGGAACTAATGCGAAACTACAACATTACCCAAGATTTTACCAGTTTCTATAAATCTAGAGTCTTGTGTGGCCACATGCAACTTACTTCCATTTTTGAAAGCTGTATAAAAGTGTAACAGTATAAAAATTGTAAATTTTTGCCCTGGCTGGTGGATTGAGCTCAGTGGATTGAGCATGGGCCCGTGAACCAAAGGATCTCAGTTCGACTCCCAGTCAGGGCACATGCCTGGGTTGCAGGCCAGTTCCCAGCAGAGGATTCATGAGAGGCAACCATTCATTGATATTTCTCTCCTTCTCTCCTTCCCTTCTCCTCCCCTCTAAAGATAAATAAAATATTTTTTAAAATAATAATAAAATAAAATAAAATATTAAAAATTGTAAATTTTCTGTTATTTGTTATCTTCTAGAAATGTTAGTCTTAAATTAACTATTAGTATTACTAAACATTTGAAATAAGCATAAATGAGTATATGGCGTTCTTCTCTGAGAATAAATCTATGTATGCCATTAAAAGTTGGGTTTTTTGAGAGGTGTTACTATCTTTGTTTTCTACTTGCACTCTCTTTAACTTAGTTTTATGATGCTAATCGTATCTTATAAAATATACATACATACCAATGTGGATTAATACAACCTGTAAATTTTTTTATATTTATTTATTCTTAAAGAGAGGGGAAGGGAAGGAAAAAGAGTGGGAGAGAAACATCAATGTGTGGTTGCCTCTCATGTGTCCCCTACTAGAGACCTGGCCTGCAACCCAGGCATGTGCCCTGACAGGGAATGGAACTGGCAACCCTTTGCTTCACAGGCCCGTGCTCAATCCACTGAGCTACACCAGCCAGGACAACAACCTGTAAAATTTTAAGCTGGTATTTGGCCAATGTAGTGTAAGAAACTAGATTCACGCTCCCACCTTGTTATACAAAAAACCCCCACAAATACTTGGTCTTTGTCCTTAGTCCTGGGCTCCAAAATCCCTTAGAATCTCCAGAGTGATAAGAGTATCTTTTGTATGCTATTGAGAAGACTGGTGACTGGGGGCCCATAAGTAGCTTCAGGATGGAGACTAGTCACCAGAAAGACCAAGGCATGATTAGAGGGTTGAAACTTTTGGCTCTACCTTACAAATTCTGAAAGTTTCAGTTAATCACCAATGGTCAATGATTTAATCAACTGTGCCTACAGGATGAATCCTTGATTAAAATCCTTAAATAACAGAGTTCAGGGAGCACACAAGGGTGCTGGGAGACTGGTGCAACTGAAGAGGTGCATCTGTGCATGGAGCAGAAGCTCCATGTCCCTTCACCCATAACTTGCCTTGTGCATCTTTTCCATTTGGCCTTTCCTGAGTTGCATCCTTTATAATAAACTGCTAAGTATAAATCGAAAGTGTTCCTGAAGTCTATGAGCAGCTCTAGTAAATTACTGAACCTGAAAGGAGGGTGTGTTGTAGGAATGCCCAACTTTGTAGTTAGTATATGGTAACATCTGGACTACATCTTGACTGAAAGAACTCCATCTCAGAGGCCTAACTGTAATTCTTTGCTTTCAGTAAAATTCCAGAAAGAATGTATGATGATAACATCCTTTCTCAACATCATATTCTGCAATAGCTTTTTTGTCAATTAAACAGTAACTGAAATGTGTGCACAAGCATGATTTTTAGGCCCTTTGAGTAGTCTACTGACCATGGAAAACATCTTGTGACTACCCAGGAATAAACTGCCTCTTGATGATGATTGTGGGACAACTGACCTCATCCTTATTCCCAAGCCCTATACCCACCTCAAGGCCCCTGTATAAGCTACCCACAAGAACCTCTTGGGGCGCTCAACTTCTCTTTTCTGGTGAGCTCCCTTGTATACAAGCTCTCTTCATAAATTCTACATGATTGATCTTGTACTGAGTTCAGTCCTCACTTCTATGACATGGAGATTCAAGAACCTGGCACTGAAGGTTTGGTAACATAGCCAAGTCAGAATACGTCCAGGATACAACACAGAAGTGTGGGTATACCAATACTTATTACTGGCATATGAAGCAAGGATAGTCTTGTGGGGTTGAGCTCTTAAACCTGTGGAGTCTGACACCAATTCTGGGTATGGTATGTGACTGGGAGTGTCAAAATTGAATGGTGGGACATCCAGTTGGTTTCCAGAGATTTGGAGAACTGGTTGTTGGTATGGGAAAATAAACTACATATATTCAGTGTCAGAAGTATTACATATAAAAACAGTTCAGATATTTGAAACAACTAAAAAACCAAACAAGTGTATGAAAATATTCTCAAGACCTTGGATATCAGGCAACAGAGTACAGTGATCCTTAAGAGACTGAGCCCAGTGACTGCCTCAGCTTACAGACATGAGAGTTTCCTGGCTACGGTGCAGGTAATGGGAACTCAGCAGAACCTGATGGCTTCCTTGGGTTCAGAGGAGAAAGAACTTTTATCTGGAAGACTAATATTGCTAGAGTTCTTGGGGCAGGGTAGTAGACAGATGAGAGCTGCAATAAGAGAAAGCTACAGAGGGTCCCCCTGGAGATTTCACCTGAGTATTTGTGACCAGAGGTCAAGGAAAGAACCATCTGAAAGGATTATTGGGAACAATTCCCCAAAGCTTCAACAAAGCCAGGAAAAATGCATTTTCCTACCAGCTACGGTGGGAAGTCTCATAATCCATTGGGCATTAAATAGAGAACTCAGAAGCTGTACTTAGAGGGAAATTTATGGCACCACACACCTACACTGGAAAAAAAAGGAAAGTCTCATATCAATGATCTCAATTTGCACCTAATAAATGAGAAAAAG